GTGACATGGCGAGACGGTCGTCTCACCAAAAGGGATGGCGGTCTCGCCTTTGGCGAATGATGAGACGACAGTCTCGCCAAACTAGACGGTAGTCTCGCCATTGGTGAATGGTGAGACGGCCATCTGGGCCTTTCGATGGTTTTTTTTTTTTGGAAGAGAATATAGGACCCTGTTCACAAACATCTATGCATGCAATGTTTTCATGTTATGTGTCCTATAATACTATTTAATTAACTTTTCAGAAGGATTAACTTATGTGTCTTTTGAAGACGAGGCCCTTCTAATGTCATTCTTTAGCTGTACTTGTTTGTACCATTCCTGACTTACTATGAATGAAGAATAATTGTTGACAAAGGAGCAAACTTGCCATGTTGGTGTAATTTTTCCTTCCTCTAGAGGTTTCAATCCTCTTGTTTATTATATGCCTCCATATTTCCCCACTAATTATCAGAATATTGTGGTAAGGGTAGAGAGAAGAGAAGTAAGAGGATAATTTATTCAAAGGCTTGTGTTTTAGACGGTTGTATTTTATTTTTCAAAAGGGGATTTTGTAAGAATGGTTGGCCAGGGTTGGTCAAAGTGTTTAGGCTAATGTTAAAACAAATGGTTTGGTCTGATGACTGATTTACTTCCCCAGACTGCCCTTTGGATTTTCAGACTAGGATATTGTGTTTTGGTCCCGACTTTTATCTAAATTTCCTTTTTTCTTGTTTTGGGGAATCCTATCGAACCTTATTTTGTGACCCTAACTTCTGCCTAGGCTAATATTAAATAATTATAAATAAAAAATATATCAAATTAAAATTAAAAAAAATATTTATAAATTATATATAATATATAAATTATAAATATAAAGTTAAAAAAATTATGTTTAAAATTATAACCTTAAAAAAATTTATAATTATAAAATTAATAAAAATATAACTATTGTTAATGTTAAATAAATTATATAAATTATATATATATATATATATATATATATTTTACATAAATTAAAATAAAAATTATCAACTTAAAAATAAATTATATTTTAATATATATATATATATATATATATATATATATATTTATTCCAAAGTATAACTTATTTTCATTTCTATAATATCAAACATATATATATTTTTCAAAATATTACAAAACACATAAAAAAAATACATTAAAAAAATATAATTTTACATCAAAATATTATTTCATCTTTTATATATATATATATATATATATATATAATTTTAAGATTTTTATTATCTTCCTAATTTATTATTCATTTCTAAGAAAAATAATACAATATCAAATAAATCAAAGAATTACAAAAAATTAACCGTACAAATAAAGTATAAATATAATATTTAATAATATATTTTAAAAGTATTATTTTCCTGTTTTCAACAATAAATCTAAATATATTATTAATTTAATAAATATATAATTTTTTTTAAAATTATAATTTAATTCTATAAATTTTAAATAAAACATTATAATATTATAGATATATATATATATTATAGTTAGTTTTTCTTTTTTAATAATAAAAAACAACTAATTCATAATTCAATTGCCGAGAAAATCGAATTTTAACTAGTTTAAAGAAAAAAATACATTCACATTCAAGTTTCGTCTTTCGGATAATCGAATTCCCAACTACTCAATTAAAATTACTCGATTAGTTTTTCTATTACTCGATTACAATTTGTTCTTATAGATTATATTTTTAAATAATCGATTAGTTTTTGAAATAATCGATTATAATCGATTAGTTTTTCAAATATATATTAAATAATAATATATATATATATAATTTATTTTCATTTCCAAAATATAATTTATTTTCATTTCTATAATATATATATATATATATATATATATTAAATATAATTTATTTTCAAGTTCATAATTATTATTTTAATTTATGAAATATATATATATATATATATATATATATATATATATAATTTAAAGTTTTTAATTTAAGTAATATATATAACTATAATTTATATAATATATAATTTATTTAACATTAAAAATATTTATATTTTTATTAATTTTATAATTATAATTTTTTTAAAGTTATAATTCTAAATATGATTTTTTTAATTTTATAATTATAATTTTAATAATATATAATTTATAAATAATTATTTTTTAATTTTAATTTAATATATATTTTTATTTATACTTTTTTAATATATATTTGAGAAATTAATCAATTATAATCTATTATTTGAAAAACTAATCGATTCTAATCAATCCTTTGAAAAACTAATTGATTCTAATTAATTATTTTAAAAAGTTATCAATTATAATTGATTATTTGAAAAAGTAATCAATTATAACCAATTATTTGAAAATATAATTGATTATTTAAAAATTTAATCGATCATAATGGAGTAATTAAAAAAGTAATTGATTTAGAATTCGACTTGTTCACTATCAAATTCTAAATAGATTTTTTTATTTTGATAAGAAAAAAAACTAGTATATATATATATAATAATATATTTAGATTTATTGTTGAATGTAGTAAAATAATATTTTTAAAATATATTAATAAAATATTATATTTATATTATTTGTATGGTTAATTTTTTTTAATTTTTTTATTTATTTGATATTGTAATATATTTTTAAGAAATTAATAATAAATTAGAAGGATAATAAAAATCTTAAAAATTATATGTATATAAGATGAAATAATATTTTGATGTAAAATTATATTTTTGAAATGTATTTTTTTCTATGTTTTTGTAATATTTTGAATGATATATATATATATATATATATATATATATATATATATTAAATATAATTTATTTTTAAGTGGATAATTATTATTTTAATGTATACAATAAATAAATAAATAAATATATATATAATAATAATTAATTTGAAATTCAAATTTTAATTTATGTTATATATATATATATATATATATATTTAATTTATTTAACATTAAAAATAGTTATTTTTCTTATTAATTTTATAATTATAAGTTTTTTAAAAGTTATAATTCTGAATTTAATTTTTTTAACTCTATAATTATAATTTATATAATATATATAATTTATAAATATTTTTTTTTAATTTTAACTTGATATATATTTTTATTTGTAATTATTTAATATATATTTTAAAAATTTATAGATTATAGTCTATTATTTAAAAAATTAATAGATTATACTCAATTTTTTAAAAAAGTAATCGATTATTTGAAAAATTAATCAATCATAATTGAATAAATATAAATTAATTAATTAATTTTTTAAATAATTTTTCAAATTTATATTAAATAATATATATATATATATAATATTATAATATTTTATATAAAATTTATAGTTTTAAATATAGTTTTAAAAAGATTTATGTATTTATTAGTTTAAGAATATTTTTAGAATTATGGTTAAAAGTACTAAAATATAATTTTTATTTGTATGATTAATTTTTTTTAATTTTTTAATTTATTTGATATTGTAATATTTTTTTAGAAATTAATAATAAATTAGGAAGAAAATTAATATAAAATAAAATAATATTTTTATGTAAAATTAAAATAAATTATTTTTTAGAATATATATATATATATATATATATATATATATTAGTTAATTTTTCTTTTTTATCAAAATAAAAAAAATTCTATTCAAAATTTGATTACGAATAAATAGAATTCTAAATCAATTAATTTTTTAATTATTTTATTATGATGATCAAATTTTTAAATAATCGATTATATTTTTAAATAATTGATTATAATCGATTATTTTTTAAATAATCGATAACTTTTTTAAATAATTAATTATAATTGCTTAATTTTTAAAATAATTAATTACAATTGATTAATTTTTTCAAATAATAGATTATAATTGATTAATTTCTCAAATATATATTAAAAAATTATAAATAAAAATATATATTAAATTAAAATTAAAAAAACAATTATTTATAAATTATATATTATAAAAATTATAATTACATAATTACAAAAATCATATTTATAATTATAACTTTAAAAAAATATATAACTATAAAATTAATGTTAAATAAATTATAGATTATATATAAATTATAATTATATATATATATTACTTAAATTAAAAACTTTAAATTAATTATATATATATATATTACATAAATTAGAATAATAATTATGAACTTTAAAATAATTTATATTTAATATATATATATATATATTTTAAAATATAATTTATTTTAATTTTTATAATATAAATATATATATATATATATATATATAAATAAAAATAAGTTATATTTTAGAATATATATTTTATATTATAAAAATTAATATAAATTATATTTTAGAATATATATGATTTTACAACAAAATATTTTTTTATATATATATATAATTTTTAAGATTTTTATTATCCTTCTAATTTATTATTAATTTCTAAAAAAATTTATAATATCTAATAAATCAAAAAATTAAAAATAATTAATCATACAAATAAATTTAAATATAATATTTAATAATATATTTTAAAAATATTATTTTATTACTTTTAACAATAAATCTAAATATATTATTAATTTTAAAAATATATAAATCTTTTTAAATATAAAATTTATAATTATAAATATTAAATAAAATATTATAACATATTATATGTATATATTTAATTAGTTTTTTTCTTAATCAAATTAAGAAAAAAAATTATTCAAAATTCAATTGTGAGAATATCAAATTTTAAATTATTTAAAAAAATATATAAAAATGTAATTTCGTTTAAGTTTAAGTTTTTTATATTAAAAAATCGAATTCTCTTCTTAAAAAAATTGTACTATATAAATAAATAATTAAAAAACGAATACCTCCATTGTAGAAATAATTTCGCAGCACACCACGCCTCATCCTACCTGTCCCCACACTCTCTATACACCAAAAAATTGTGCGCCACGCCTCACCTACTTCCATGCCGGCCTCCATCTTCTTCCCCAATCTCACTCCCCCTCCTTAGCCGCTTTCACTCCAATACCCTTTCTCCTTAGCCCCCAGCGTAGCCACCGTGTCCTAATTTGAACCTCGCCCCCGCCTCAACTCGTCGTAGAGCCTCGCCACAGCCTCTGCGGCCCGCGCTTTCACTCTTCCCCTTTAGACTCGCGACCCTCTTCTCTCCCTCCCTCTCACCTTTCAACCACGAATCCTCATCGTGGTCACCTCCTCCACAACCTTTCTCACTCCCTTGGCCACCATCACTGCGCGAACCATTATGCTTCAACCCCTATCTTACCCCTCTTCAGCCACCGTGAGACAACCCGCGGACCTGCACGAGACTGCTCTTTTTCCCCTCAGATTTTGGCCTCTTTTTGCGTTGGTTTAATTTTGCTTTTTTATTTTTGCTGGGTTTGATTGGTTTTGGTTTGGGTCAATTGGGTGCATGGATTTTTGTTGGGCCTGGATTGGTTCTATTGGGTGCATTTGAGTGTGTCTAGATCTCTGATTGATTCTGTTGGGTGCATTTGGTTCCTATTGGTTTTGGTTTAGTTCTTCTAGACCCTAAATCTTGCCCGCCTCCAAATAAAGTCAGAAAGCTTCCTATTTCAAGATGGCCGGAGCTTAACAAACCACTAGGAGAGACTATTAGGCTCCCGTACCAAGATAGGAAGGTTTTTTGGCCCAAAATAAAGTTTCTCGCCCTAAAGGGACGAGACCGCCGTCTGAGAATACCAGACCGCCGTCTCGTTTCAATGCCAGGACGAGACCGCCGTCTCGATTTTCCAGACGGCGGTCTCGACACTCGCAAAAACGAGATGGCGGTCTGGGTTTTCCAGACGGCGGTCTCGACCCCGTGACATGAGCGAGACGGCGGTCTTGAATTACGAGACGGCAGTCTCGACCCTGTCAGACGAGAACGGCGGTCTGGACCCTGACAGCGCGAAAAACTATAAATAGGGGTTCTCCCCCCTCATTTCCAAAAAAAAAAAAGAAAAAGCAACAAGAGCTCTCCCTTTTCTCTAGATTTTCTCTCTCTAAGAATCCCTTCGAGGCATTTTCGGAGTTTCTGAGCGTCTTTAGGCATAGACTGAGCGTTCTAAATCTTCTTAAGAATCCCTCCGAGGCATTTCCGGAGTTTTTGAGAGTGTAGAGTGAAGGGTTGTCAAAACGCACCCTCTTTTTGAATATAAAGCTTGCTTTGGAGGTGCATATCCTCATTCTCTATTCTTTAAAATTACTGTTATTTAAATTATGCAATAGAAGCTAGGGCAATGTAGTCACATATTTAAATACCGCATAATAAAAGGGTAAAAGCGCAATTTTCCAAGTTTAATTATTCGCAAATAGCCGGCCTATCATAGGGAACCCGAAAGGGGCGTCGTAAAGGGACTAATACTCCCTTTACACGTAACTAACTCCCTTACCCAACTCTGGTTCTAATGACCAAAGTTGGTTTTCGAAAACCAACGCCTTTTCAAAACCCCTTTTCCGATGTTTTTGGTAAAAATATCGGTGACGACTCCATAGAACCCAAAATAAGTCTTTGGGTTAGCCCGGTTGTCGGACAACTCAAGGACACTTTTCGAAAACCTCGTCTCTAGGTTAGCCAGGTTATCGGACAACCTAAGGACGTTGTAACCACCAATAAAAAACGTGAAAAATCAAAAAGAGTCGAACAACCATCGCGTCGCTCCGACCGCGCCCCCTCTTCGGGGAGGCGGCGACAGATGACGACTCCACTGGGGAAGCCTAGAGAGTTGATCCCATTTAGTGATGGACTGACTTAAAAATAATTAAACCAAGAAAATAAGCGCTTTTACCCTGCCTTGTATTATAACATGTTTTATTGTTTGGCTTTCAATAAACTGTTGTTTGTTTATACTTACGCAATTGCTTGATATATAAATTGCACACAAGTCCCTTGCACACTACAGTTCCTCCTATACCCGGGGCAAGTGAGATAACCATAGGGAGTGGGTGGCGGGTACGGTTCATCTGCAGTTAGGGCCTTGTGCTCACCGAGTGTGATCGGAAACCATCACTCAAGGTGATAACCTTCCTCTTTTGGCAACAAGACCGACTCTGGCCTTAGTGTTGAGCATGGTCGAACGGCTGGAGAGTGGGGACCCTATAATGGGGGCACCTTGGGGGCCTTAGCCTGGTGAGAACAGTTATAACCAACCCTTGCCAATGCACTTTTCTGCAGGAAAACCCTACCTCGTGATAAAAACGGAATCTCACCTGTTCGGGGATGATCGAATTGTGTGTGCATATGTTTGTTGCATTTGTATGTTGCATAGCATAAACAAACAACAGAACAAAATCACAAAAAATATTTTACAAATAAACACCCTTATCTCGGACAGTCTGCCTTTTAGCTAGCCTGGTTTCGGGTTCTTTGTAAGCTAAGTAGTCACGCAGTTCCGACGGAAGAGATAAGGGACGCTAAATATTTCTTTCGCATAAAGCCATATTTTATCTCGGACGATCCGCCTTTTAGCTAGCCTGGTTTCGAGTTCTTTGCAAGCTAAGTAGCCACGCTAGCTCCGACGAAGAGATAAAAGACTATAAAATAAACAAATAAAATACAAAAAATACAAAAACATCAAAAATATATATAAATAAACAAACTTCTGACAAATTCAACTCATCCATATTACATCATATCATGAGTAAAGAAAAAAACAAAGAAAGAAAATGAAAATGAGAGTGCATTCAGCATCATTTAAAACCTCTCATACATAAGCATACTCATGATAGCTTAAGCACTCAACATGCATTAATAAAACTGCTTGGACATTCTAGAAAGTGGCTGGTCCTCTCCCCACTCGTACTCGTGCGCAAAAGGCTAAGGCAATGGAAAATCTAGAGGAGCAAAACCGGAAGCTCACTGCAGAGGTTAACATTCTCCGCGAGCAGGTGGCCCAATTAATGGAGGTCGTGCGACAGGGCCGAGCAAGGGCGGTGAGGGCCAAGCCGAGCATATCCCTCCTCATGAGGAGGAGGAGGAGGAGGAGCACTTCTTTGGCGATAAGGATGTTAAGACCGCTCGCATCCTTACCCCGAAATATCCAAACAACAACTCTCCGCCCTGGAGGAGAGGTCGAAGGCGGTTGAAGGGCATAACTTCGACGTCAAGGAGGTGGTCGACATGTGCCTCGTAAAGGACATCCGTTTCCCTCCCAAATTCAAGGTCCCGGACTTCCCCAAGTACTCCGGCTGACTCGCCCTAAGAACCATCTTACGATGTATTGCCGTAAGATGGCCGCCCATGCCGACAACGAGAAACTCCCGATCCACTCGCTCGGGAGAGTTCGGCGGACACGACTCTCAACCGGTACATGCGGTTGGAGAGAGGGCAGTCCGGAACCGGAAGCGGCTGCGGACGCTTTCCTCCGCCGCTACCGTTATAACATTGATCCGACACCCGACGAGTCGGATCTTAGAGCGCCGAGCAAAAGGAACGACGAGCCCTTTAAAGCGTATGCCCAAAGGTGGAGGGAAATGGCAGCCCAGATAGAGCCTCCTTTGACGGACAAGGAAACAGTGGCTATGTTCATCGACTCACTGACAGGAGCGTACTACAACAAGGCAATAGCCAGTACCTCCAACCTCTTCTCGGACATAGTCACTGTAGGCGAGAGGGTGGAGCAAGGATTAAGGAGCGGGAAGATCGCACAGTCTTCCCAAGTTGGTGTCTCCTTCAGGAAGCCCGCCGACAAGAAGAAGGACGAGTCTGTGCACGCAATCAATTTTGCCACTCCTTCTTCTACCCCACAAACGCCCAAGCAGCCCCGCAAGAAGGAAAGGAAGTTCACTCCAATCTCCACTTCCTACGGGCTGCTGCTACCTCAACTGCTGGAGGCTAAACTCCCGACTCGCGCCCCTCCCAAGAAACGAGTTGGAGCCTCCCTACCCCGAATGGCATAAGCCGAACGAAAAGTGCGCTTACCATTCGGGCGCACCCGGTCACTCTACACGTAACCGCTTGGCCCTTAAGTATCGGGTTCAAGAGTTAATCGATGCCGGGTGGATTACTTTTGACGCCTCTGCTTCTAGCACCGATGACAAACCTCTGTCGAAGCCAGAGTAGCGAAGAGGGAGGACTGGGAGGACCGGCCCTAGGGTTTCTTTTTTAAGCTTTCTCTATATCTCCCGCGGTCCCCGCCCGTGGTCGCAGGAATTTTGATTAAAAGGGCTTGTACATACATCTTCATCTTCATTAATATACGAGGCATTTTTGTCATATTCTTTCTTTTCTCTCTTCTATTTATTATTCTTTCAAAAAATAAATTGAATAATAAAATCTATGACTAAAACAGAACCTAAAACGCATCATGTCTATGATTGATGAATCCCCATGGACTCCGGAAACGAAGGCGAATGGACTCGAGTCCGACAAAGTGAGCGAGAGACCATTTCTCCGGACATGCAAAGGATGCTGGAAAAAGAAACACGCATCATACAACCACATCAGGAAGAAATAGAAACTATCAATTTGGGAAAAGAGGATGAGGATAAAAAGGTGAACATCGGCACCCAAATGGAAAATAGTACGAATAAGGGATTAATACTGCTCCTAAAAGAATATATGGATGTATTCGCCTGGTCATACCATGACATGCCGGGGCTTGACACGAGCATAGTGGAACACAGATTGCCACTAAAAGAGGGGTTCCGACCAGTAAAGCAAAAACTCGGGAGAATTAAACCCGATCGGTCCTTAATGATAAAGGAGGAGGTGCAAAGACAGCTTGGATGCCAATTTCCTGGTAGTTTCCAAGTACCCGTAATGGTTGGCCAACATAGTACCCGTCATCAAAAAGACCGGAAGGTCGAGTCTCGCGTGGATTATAGGGACCTCAATCGAGCAAGTCCAAAGGACGACTTTCCCCTACCACATATAGACACGCTGGTGGACCATACCGCTACTAACACGTTGTATTCCTTCATGGATGGGTACGCAGGGTACAACCAGATCAAACCGGCCGTGGAGGATAGAGAAAAACCTCCTTCATTACACCATGGGGTACCTTTTGTTATCGAGTAATGCCGTTTGGGCTCGAAGAATGCGGGGCAACCTACCAAAGGGCTATGGTCACACTATTCCACGACATGATCCACAAAGAAATAGAAGTATATGTGGACGACATGATAACCAAGTCCGTAAATGAAATGGACCATATTCAATATCTCCGAAAGCTTTTTGATCGACTTCGAAATATCAACTTAAGCTAAACCCGACAAAATGCACTTTCGTAGTACGATCAGGAAAACTCCTAGGGT